TCACGTCCGTGCTACGGGGCTGCAGGCTGGCTTCTCACGAGATCTAGCAAAACCACCAGCACTAGCTGTTTTGGTAACTGAGGTGTTGACAGGATCGGTGGGTGCGTTTCTAATGAAATACTTTTCGACCTTAGTCCTCTGTCACCATCCTTTCAAGGGCATGGATCACTCTTATGTCCGCCTCTGAGTAAGTCGCAGAGTAAACAGTGGAATTACTGTGAATGCCCTTGAAGGAGCTGTTTCCTTGGCCCTTATGACTGCCGCTTAGTCACACGCCACCAGGAAACCTGGACTTGAATTCTATTAAAATGTAACCAACAAATGCGACAGTTAAATCCAACTAAATGATTTGTAATGTTTGTCTCTCCTTGACAGCTAACCAAAACTCTCTAAAGGCAGCTTCTTCCCCTGTCTTTTAGTCATATGTTTGAAGCTCCGTTCTGCTCTGAGGCATATTACTTACGGCCTTCCAAAGGCGCAAGACCAGAGCTCTGTTTGCTCTCGGTGATACTAGGTGTTAACACCAATCCTCTGCCTCACCTAACCTGCAAGGGTTCCTCACCACAGGGGAGAAAAAACAAACAAACAAACAAAACTTCAAATCACAATGCACTTTCTCCTGCAGTTTGTTCCATTTGCCCCAAATACCACACCACTTGCAGGGACCCACCCCTCTGTGTTATGTGGTTTATCTTGATACCTGTAGAGGGGCAGTCGCTTTGTATAAACAGATACATCAGAAAAAAAAAAAAAAAAACAAATCCTCAAGTATACAATCAGCTTTAACTGTGCTTCTCGCTTGGAAGAAGAAAGCACAGCCAGTTTCTGGCCCCTCAGACAAAGCTTTTCAGAGACATCTGGAAGAAGTGAACACTTACTCCCTACCGAAATTAATGAAACAGAATATCCAAGTGATTTGGAATTGTTCTCCTTAAAGCCTCTGTAGATATGCTGGTTATTATATGTTAGCACAATTCTGCGAGATTTCTATCTCCTCAAATCAAACAGGGAAGAGAAGGGCAAGGAGAGCTGCTACAGGAACAACAGAAACCATTTCAAATCCAACAGTGTTTGTGTTGGTCAGGGTTCTGCAGAAGCTTGATTTTAACGAAATCGTCCTCGTGTTGCCCCTAAAAGTCCAATCTGAAATGCAGATTCAGTCAAAGCCACTCCTTGGTAGAAGCTACTGCCATTTGATAAAAACAGCACAGTAATGACAGTGGTAGTGATACAGTAACAAGTCATTTAAGCTATCGCCCAGGAAAGCTTCCCTATAAATACCATCGAGAAGACCGTTTCTTTCCCCTCTCAGCTGTAAAAATTTCTTTCTCCTTCCTCAGCCCAGTCCTAACGATCACAACTAAAGAGAAACCTTGCGAGCAGCTCTGCCTGCCAGCAGCAGCTATGGGAGATGAGCGGGCCTTCTGGGGCTCGTCTCCCACCTTCCTCAGTGATCTATCTCCTAAACGCTTGCTTCAAAAGGAAGAGCACATCCTTCAGGAATTGTAAAAACAGCAGTAAAACTCTGTAGCTAAACAAACTCGGGAGCAAGTAAACAAATTCAAAGTCATCAAAGCCAGTCGGTGGGTCAAACATTTGGAGGAGGGAGGGCTTTGGCTGCAGGCCTTTTAAACAGAAGCAAGCAATTTTAAAAACAGCGGGGTAAAAGTGCTTGCAGCACGTGGGCCTCTGTTGAGACATCTTCGAAGCATTTTGAAATATCTTTGGCAATGCTTTTGGCCGCTTTCCTGTTGCACTGACTTACTGCTTCCCTCTGATAATAAAGCAAAAACTGTACTTATCAGACAGGAAAAGAAACTAAAAGATGCCTCCGAAGTGCCCTGAGGCTTGTAAAAATCCCAGCCTTGCTTTCCTGTGCTCACAGAAACACCCAGCTCTCCTCCCCCTTAGGAGGGACGAGACCATCACATCAGACCTGGGCAAGGCACGTTTTTAATATGCGCTTACGCATACTTGGCATACGCTGCTGCCCAGCATCATTTTCTGTAAGGTGCAGAGTGGAAGAGGTAAACCTATTTACCTTCAACATGAAAAGCTTCTGCGTAGGTGTGGCTGCCGGAAACTTCCTGAGGAAGCTGCCCCAGGCCCCCAGCCACCACTGCAGGCTGAACCGGGGGAACGGCCCCCGAGCACTTCAAAGCCCATCGTGACAGCGAGAGCTGTGTCTCAGCCACATCCGAGAGCAGCCTCACACCTTATTTCCTGCTAACCAGAGCATCTATCCCAGGCCTGCACTGGGAAGGGCAAAGGAGCAGCCGCACCAGGCTCAGTGCTGAGCCAGAGCCTCCTTCTCCAGTTCCCCCTTGTAAAAACAGGTCACATTTTACAGGCCCTAGCAGAGAACGCAGGCACTGGGGAGCTGGAGTGCTGACTGCTCGGTTCAGTTTGATCCCTTTAATCTCCCCTTTTCTAAAAGGGCTAACTCTTCCTTTGAGCAACATCCTGTGCTATTACCCTTCTGCTGAAAATGTTTTAAATTGAACTGCATCTGTGGCTGGCATCAAGACCCACTTGAGCCAACAAAGAACTCCAAACAAAGCTTAGAAGCAGGTTATTACATATTCTAGGGCAATATGCGGACCACGTTTTACATAGTCTACCTGAGTCTTACGCTTTCTAGGCATAAACCCATCCACTGTCCTTGTCCTGCTTTTCCCTCCCTTCTTCCTTTCCAGCCTCAAAACTTTTCCTAAATCTACCAGAAATACCCCTACATTCTTCCCTGGGGTTAACTAATGAAAAGCTGACAATCATTGCTCTGAAAAGTTAACTGCAGCCATGGTGGTCTATGCACGGTCATAAAGGGAAGACTGTTCCTTCCTTTTCAAACCTGGAGATGCCTTGTGCCTCTAAAAGATCATGTTTTTACTATTTTAGTTTGTCTAATAAAAGATTTTCTTTTAACAAATTCTGCTCTAAAATCAGTTTTCTTTAAAAAAAATCTGGCAAGCTTTGCTCTCAATGAATTACAGCAAGTGAAAAAGAGGACACAGCCTATTCTCTATTTGAAAAGAGCCGAGTTTCTCACACTAGGTGAGATATGTTAGCATTAACACTAGTTGTTATTCTCTGCATTACTATCCCACCATATATGTATGAAATAATTTCAACCAAATCATTCAGGTGCATATTTATTAACAAGCCTCTACACTGTCAATACAGATGAGCCCTGAACAAAAGAACACTAATAGAACACGGTCTCCTTGTTTCAGATACAAAATTTCTTAAAATTTTTCTCTTGACACCAATAGCTGAGGCTAGCTTATAAGAAACGGGGACTACAGTCCAACACGACAGAAGGAATTACTATGGGAGTCGCTGAACAGTGTGAGGGATATACCGATCCGATGCAGAAATACAAGTGTTGTTAGAGTTCCCAGTAGACAGTCTCTCCTACAAGCCCAGTTTGGTCCTTCTCCAGTGTCTCCTTTTGGAGTTGTACCTAGGACAAAAGCAGTGTAAGTTAGCGAGACTGCAATCTGGCATGTTGCAGCAACAGAATCAAAACCTCAAAGAGGTAAAAACGTCTGCAGATGGGTGCGTTACCACTCAGCGGGTGTATACCCTAACTCCTCCTTTGGAGCAAAGACTTGTGATCTTGCATCGTCCAATGATGATAAAAGGAAGCTGCCACTTTGATGTAATTCCTAATCATATTTAAGTAGCGCAAAAAGCTTAATTTTTGCTGAGAATACAAAAGAAGAGCCGATGTATGAAAGAGGCCCGAATCCAGGAAAATATATCCGCTTATGAGCCACAAGTGAAATACTTGTACATGTTAAGGACAAATGGTTTCACCAACACACCGGTAAAACCAGAGATGACATTAACAGAATTGCTCTCCGCAGGAAAATGACAGTACTCCCACAGAATGGAGCACTGCAATTGCAGCCTGCTTTAGCACAGTTTGCGATGAAACTGATGACCAAGGTAGTGAAGCGCTGCAAGAGAGAGATGAATGATTCTGCCCCATAATAAATATTTCAAAGTACTGCAATTCAGCTAAATCTGAACCACTTTACAGGTCAGTATTTGGAAGACGTGGACACAGCTAGGGGGCACACGGCAGAGTCATTCTTCCTAAGAAAGGAACAAGTGAGTAGCAGCAAGAGGAACAGAACCTGGCAGTTCTACACTGCCTCGCTACGGCTGTCACCGCTACTGCTGCTCTCCTCACTGCTTGAGAAAGAAGGAAAATAATCTGAGAGAAACAATCCCATTCACCCCAAAACCCTAGATTGTGGAGGACACAAAACATACACCTAGCTACACAACTTGAGTGACTGAACTATACTTATTATTAGGTGGAAGTTTTCAACCAGAAGACTTAGACACGCACCAACTCGTGCACAGTTCTGCAACACAGAACGAACTGCTAGAGGCGGACGCGGCAGGGAAGGCCCATGCCGCTACAGGGCAGCCTAACGGGCCGAGACCCCCCGGCGGGTTACCGCCTGCGCTGGGAACGCTCACCGAGTGTTCTGCACCCGCACATCTCTAGTTCTGCTTGCAAAAACGGCTTTATTCGCTGCCTTTCCCGAGCTCAGCCGGCGGGCACAGCCAGCCGGCGGC